CCCCCTGCCGCTGCTACAACCACAGTGACATATGGAGGGTAGCGAGCACTTCCCTGCCAGACTTAGCTCAGGCGGCTAAGAGGCAAGTGACTGTCTCTGCTCTGAGAGTTGCCCCACCAGACCCTGCCACCAGCTCCCGCTGGTGACTAGGAGCTGAACCTTGGGCAGTCACTGTCATCCACCAGCACCATCCGCTTGGCCTCCCCCGGGCTCTTGCCCTGTAAGCAGAGTAGCAGGAATTCATCTGAGCCCCAGCTCATCTGGCTGCACCCCGCACACGAAAAGTGCCTCAGACCAACAGCCCTCGACTCCCTGTTCACAGTGTGAGGTGTTTGCTGGGAGCCCACCAGGCCCTACTGGGAGAGCTGTCCACACCCTGCGCGGGGCCGGGGCTGTGGTATTTTCCCTTTTCACCATCAGGGTGGTGACGTTTCTTGCTCTCGCAGTGCTGCACCCAGCACCAGGCAAAGAGCCAAGGCCATCTGCATGTGGGCAGGGCAAAAAAAAAAATTAAATAAACGATTGCAGGCATCCAGTGCCAGCATGGCACGGCCCAAATAAAAGGTTTGCAGATGCTGCTCAGGCAGGATTAGGCCTCCAATGTGCTAAGTCTCGGCTCTCGGTGAGCCTAATTGCTGCTGCAATAAGCCGTGGCTGGTCCTTCCCTGAACTGTGCTCCCCACAGCCCCCCTCCATCGTCAAACATTTTTTTTTTTTGCTGCAAATCTTGTATTTGCCCTGCATATGTTCCCTCCCCTCCCAAAGGGGCCTGGATGAGCAGAGGAAGGGAAAGGCAGGAAATCTGCAGATGCCACTTTTATTGCTCTGCTCTTCCCAGCCGGTGTCCCACCGCCGTCCCCCTGCCCGGCACAGCCTGTGGCTGTGTGCAAGGAACAGAGGCGGGGACAGGTGACAGCATCATTACATGACCGCACGCTCCCTGAGCTGTATTAGGAAACCTTCCAAATTGGAATTACTCAGATTTTAATAAAACCTTTTTGATAATTTTCCGTTATGTTTTGGCCAGTGGATGAAACTGGAGGTGTTCCAGGAGAGCTGTCGCGGTGTGTGAGCGGGCCAGTTCAGCCCAGCCGTGGGATGAGGAACCATCGCAGCCGGGAGCCAGGCAGTCGGACGGCCACGATGCACTCATGCTGTCCTGGGGGTGCTTGTGTGGTCAGGACCACATGACCGCTCTGTGTGTGCCTCCTCAAGAGGCAGAGGTGCCCCCAACGGTACCTCCCACCACACATTTACCTCGCCCAAGCAAGCAGCTGCTTCTTGTCTTTAACCACAAGGGACGTGGGGACTCCGGGCCCAACTCCGCACTTTTTGGAGCAGGAGGAGGAGGAGAGCACTGCGCAGAGCTGGAGAGGCAGAACACCTTTCCTGCCATCCAGGCAGCAGGCAGTTCGGTGAAGAACCTCACACCTGAGCTTCATCAAGGAGAATTTTCAACAGCTTTTGCGAGAAGGGATCAACTTTCTCCCAGTGACTTCCCTCAGGAACTGGATGAGTGCTCCAGTTCAGAACATCTAACTCATCAGCCGTGGTTTGGCTCTTTGACTGGCAAAAATCAATCACCCTGTGGCATGTGTAGGGCCTCTCAGTTGTGGGGAGATACACGAGGGTTTCACTTTGTCCCCCTTGGAATGACGATGCTTGTCCAGCAGAGCTCTTCACCCCAGTTTAGGCACGAGTCTGCAGAAGATCTGCTCAAGGCTAGTAGCTACCACAAGATGTGCCAAAGGAAAGTACAAACTGACAACACAGAGCACAAAAACCAAAGATACACCACAATTTTATTTATGGATGTGTAATAAATAAATGGTGGACAAAACAGGAAGAGCCACATTCAAAAATCCAGGTCACTAAAGTGCTTTTAGACATAAATATAGGACAACCAAGAAACAGCTCTGACATTAACACTTTTTACAGACAATTACAAAATATCTTCTTATGTCAATTCACAAAATTGTTTAATTGCTCCAGGGTACTATGGCTTGCTTTTCAAAAAGGTCTATTATGCATAGTGTTGAAGACAACATTCAAGAGTGTACAAAATCATTGCATAAAGAAAAAATGTCTTTACCCCCTTCTCCCAAGTATGAGTTAAGGAAGCTACACAGTGTAAATCCAGTGATAAGGCTGCATTGGCAGGCGAGATCCTCAGGAGGTATAAACCAGTGTGTCTGTCAGGCTATACCAGCTTGAGGATGAACCCTACCATGTTTAAAAAACCCTGTTGCTCCTCGAGGTGGAAGAATTGTGTGTTCAACGCGGAGGAACTTGCCACACGGGCACCATGCAGGGGTGGAAGCACTCGGAGAAGTTGTCTGTAAACTCCCGCACCATCTTTTGCACCCAGGTGTTTGAGAGAGGGGTGACTCCCACTGCATTACTGCTCTTTGTGCTCCTGGCTGGCCAGGGAAGCGCTCGCAGCCCAGAGGGGAAGGGAGGCTCTTCCCCAGCAGTGGCCCACACTGACCACAACGAGGTCTTGTTTTCACACTGATCTTGGCCCTGCTGAGACACATCTCACACCTTCTACTCTGGCCCTGCTGAGAAGCGACCAGCTTGAAAGTGAGGGGGATAAGGGGATTGTGTGTGCTCAGTTTGAAAATGCCCTGAATTCAGATAAAAGTTCAGTTATTTAAAAAAAAAAATATTTATATCAATAAATCAATAAATATTATCTCGCCAGGAAGCTGGCAGGTCTGGCCTCCTCCAGGGCAACCCAAGCTCAGTGGTCCTTGTCCTTCTGCTCTGTGGGGGGGTCCCCGTTGATGCACTGCCTCAGTACACCCCTCTTCTCGTGCTTGGCTGTCCTGGAGAGGTCAATGGCTGTGTCCTCCGAATCTTTCGCCGGGCCAAGCTTGTCAGAGCCCCTCTGGGAACTGGCCTGCTTCCCTTTGAGTTGTTCCTCCTCCTGCTCCGCTCGCCAGCCATCTGCCAGCTTCTCTTGACTCTCTGCCTTTCTGCTCACCTCCATAGACTTTTTGTGCATGCCTTGCAGAGGGGAGAAAGAGCAAAGCCAAGGGCTCCTGTTGCTTATTTCTGCCCAGGATCGCTCAGCATCACCTTCTGCCCTCCTGCTGCTGCTTTCACTTCTCACTTTCACCCCGAGGAAAACTCATGCTAGCTGCCAGCCTTTCCTGACCCGGATCCCTGCCAAGTGCTCTCTGCAGCCCGAGAGGATGGCTTGCAGCAGAATCACTCTGTACCTCCCCTGCAGCAGGGAACGCTTAAAGGGAGAGGGGTACTGCGACAGCCCATCCCAGCCTGGATTTCAAATGCCACCTCTGTGTAGGACCGTGTATGAGCAGAGGGTAGCTTTGCGGTAGCATTATCTTCAGTTTTGGCAGGGAGGGCAATGACTTTCTAGGCACCCTGCAGCTCCCATGCTGGCCGCTAGCACTAGAAAATGATACCTAACCATGACGCGGCAGTGAAAGGTTTTCCCTTTCCCAGCTGTTCTTTGCGAGGAGGGAGCGGAAAAGCTGGGACGTTTGGCAGCCCGCATACAGCTTAGGCAGCTGAGGCCCCAATTGTTTTGGGAAAAGGTGAGGGCAGCCGTACAAAACGGAAGGGCTGTTCACCCCACAGCTGTCCCCGACACCTCCCAGCCTCGAACTCCCACTTACCCAGCAGCCATGGGGCGCAGGATCCCACCAGCCCGCTCTTGGCGGAGTTGATGATGGACTCGGGCAGAGGGATGGAGTGCCTCACCATGGCCCCGTAGAGGCCATACTCAGCCATCACGCTGCTCCGGCCCCAGCACTTTTCCCGCTTCCGCCCCTTGGCTCTTCGGTTCTGAAACCAAACCTT